GCCATAAACCACTTATCACTAACCTTCCATTCTGTACATGATGAAGGATAACTCACAATGAGAGGTGGGTACAAAAATAACAATGGAAGACATAGAGACAATAGGTAGCAACCTGAAACCCACTGGCCATTAAAGTTTTAATATATGGACTTCCTACAATTTGCATCACATACCATTTTTCTTAAGTTTTGTTCCTAAGCAAATAAATTTTTTGTGTTACTGAGTTGTCATTCCCTACATTGTGAAGGAGCCGAAGTGATTTTTCCTCTCCCTTGAAAGCTGAAGGGACCAAGACTCAGAGGGGTAAACTAGCTTGTCCAAGGTCACAAGAATTCAGATCTGGGTATAGTTCAGTGCTTTTTCCACCAAGCAGTTCTGAATCCCTAAATAATTACCTCAATATTGTCATGCATCTGATAAAACTTTGTATTCCCTGGGTTTAATTTGAATGTCCAATTTTGTATACCTACAGCTGTCTTCAGAAACAGACTTGGAATATTTAAAAAAAAAAAAAAAAAAAGCTATTCTCTGTCCACACCATTTTAATGAGTTAGATTTCTTCAGCAAAACCCTAGCTTAGTTTCAAATGTCAAGATTTTTCTGTATTCCATTTTTATTTTTAAAGGTTATTCTAATATAAGCAGGGGGCAGGGTAGTGGGAGCAGAGCAAGCAGGCTCTCTTATTTCTTCAATGGCCTAACTTTTCCTGTAGGCCTCTTCATTGTTTCTCAACCATATAGTTAATTTCAAACAAATCATATTTCTGATTTATTTTCTCATCATATTATGCAACATATTTTGGAAAGAAAAATGAGGGAAATATTTGCCCCTCCTAAACCATTTCTCTGCTCTCATAGTCTAGTGTTCCGCTTTAAACAGCAGTTCTGTGTCAGTAGACAGTTTGGTAGGTGGAATGTTCTTTGTCTAGGCCAGAAAGAACCAAGGCTTAATTGAAGGAGCAGCTGAACACCTGCCACTGACTTGAGGAAAAAGACGAACAATATGGATTAGAACGTGTTCTCATCCCGAACCAGCTGCCATTAGTATATTTCCTTTTTTTTTTTTTTTTTCTTCTTTTCTTTGTTTATATTTTGGACCAAAGAATCAGGCCATCTTCCTAGAACATCTTTAACTCTCACAGAGCGATTTGAGTAATATGATTTTAGTCGTTTTCACTTTTATAAGGTAAAAATTACTAGGGCCTTTAATATTTTCCCTTTCATCTTTCTTTTTTAAAATAGTGTTTTTCCTTCAAAGCATTAAGGAACTATAGCAGGGGGAGGAAAATATGTTACAGTATCTAGGTTCTCTCTAGATGGTTATAATTCTTGTTGGGCCACTGCCTTTTGGTAAATGAGAATGACAGTCTCAGAAATTAATTCAAGCTTTTGAGGTTCTTCACACACTAGACTCTACTTGTCCTGGAATTCTTTACTTGAAATATTGCTCTAAAATCATTAAGGCAAAACACATGGAATTCTGATTAAATACAAAAAAAATGCATTTTAAAAAAATCATTGAGCAGTAAGCTTTACTTAAAAGTTATCTATCATGTGAAGGAAAAATAAATTTTCTTAAATAAAGACCATGTTTATTATGAACATCACTTCAGATTAGAACTGTTTCCTTGGACTGGGCCCATGATGCCACGTTGTAGAGGAAAGCAGGGAGAAGAAATTTGACTTCAGGGAGATATGACCTTTAGAGCTGGAGATGTGAGGGAAACAGTGTGGTTCTGTTTTCCAGCCTCTTTTTTTAACCATGAATTAATCCAAATTATTTTGGACCTAAATTTCAGACTCATCTTCTTATCACCACCCTCAGCAAAACTACAGAGTAAATATTATTTTATTATCAGTTTTCTTATAATAAACGACTAGTATCTTTACACTCTTTGTACCCAAAAACCAGTGTTCCTAAGAAGTTGACAAGGGTGTGCTTTGTGGGCCTACCTGCCTTTCTTACAGTTAAGATGAGGCTATCCTTTGGAAAGGGAAGGATTCACCAGCCCTAGAGTCAACTTCAGAGGAGGTGGACCTGGAGTGGGTGGGGTACAGCACATGGAACAGAGCTTAAAAATCTAAGAGGCAGCCTCCAGGGAAAAACTAAAACCAAACCTAGGTAAACTAAAGCAGTCATGATCCCAAAGCGGGTAATGGGAGGAGGAGCATCCAGGAAAGAGGCAACAGGGCAGCCGGAGCCTGGGGAAGCCAGATGAGAACTACAGGATTCAAAGCATAAGGTAGGAGGTGGGGTCTGGGGTAAAGCAGAGCTAAGATGCTGATAATATGGGACCTAGGGATGGTGAGGTGTCATTAAGCCAGGTATCTATTTAACTCACCTGACCTATCCTAACTGTACTAGTAATTAGGATATAGACTCTCAACTCCAACCCCATCTTTCCGTATTCCGCTTTGTGAAGCTAGGCTGGGGTCATATGGATCCAATGGTTTCTTTGCCAGCTTTTTCCTGTTAGCTAGGTTCAGCCCAAAGAGGAATGCTAGAGGGGTATTACCAGGCATTACCGTATTTTTTGGACCATAAGACGCTCCGGACCATAAGACGCACCAGTTTTTAGAGAAGGGAAATGAAGAAAAAAAGATTCTGAAACAAATAGTGTCCTAAAATATTTTATGTGCATTAAAACCCAACATCACAGTCATAAACACATGTAATCAACCCTGTAAAGTAAACAGCAGCATTTAGAACCATTTTAGAGCTGGGCAAGCACACAGAGACCACACAGAGCTGGGCAAGTAAAAAAACTTTTTTTTTTTTAAAGTATATGTGTAGGCTATATTTGGACCATAAGACGCAGGGACTTTTCCCCCCCACTTCTGGGGGGGGGAAAAGTGCGTCTTATGGTCCGAAAAATACGGTAATTTGGGGGAAACAAAATTTCTGAGTCCCGGCACTAAAGTGAGCCAGGTCACTAGGCTATTCAGATTCAGCAAGCTCATTTGGCACAGTTCTAGAGTAAGTACTCAATACATGTAAGGAAAGGAGCGGATGGTTCCTCACCCTAAATAGAATGGAACCTTCAGTGAGTCAAGGTCCAATATTAGCCAAGCTCCACTCAGGGAAACAAAAATTACTTTGGTTAGTTTAAAGGGAAAAAAAAATAGTGCAAGGAATTAGTTAAAAGGACATTGGACGACTAAAATAGCAAGGGGAGGACACTGAAGTAACACAGAAATGGCAGGAAGCAGTTCGTACTGTAGGTGGGGGAATCACGGGAAGAGGTTTGGGTTATTAGAACATAGAAGCTTGGAAGGGGGAGCTGGGACCCTGTGGAAAGGACACTAGGTGCCTCAGAGGAATGGGGAGAAGGGAGGCCTAAGATAAACTATCACTGCCAGAGTGGGGTTGTTGCTAGGGCAAGAATGTAATGGTGTTTTTCTTTTCATTTTTGGCAAATGAGTAGAACTTTGTGTTATTAGTGTAACAATGATCTTTCTCACATTATTTGTGATCATTTTATTATTTTTTTAATCCTCACCAAGGATTTGTTTTTATTGATTTTAGAGGGAGAGGAAGGGAAAAGGAGGGAGAGAGAGACACACATATTGGTGTGAGAGATCCCCAACCAGGGATGAAACCCACAACCTCAGTATGTGCTTTGACCAGGGATTGAACCTGCGACCCTCCAGTGCATGGAACAATGTTCCAGCCAACTGAGCCACACCTGTCTTCAAACAAAATGATCAGGGCTGTGATCATTTTGTTTTAAGATATTTTGTATTATATTGTGTACTTCTTTGTGAATCTCCTCAAAATCTTTTGGAAACCCCTAGAATATTTCCATCTCTGTCTATAGTATAGACTCTATACTACTGTTGTCTTTATCTTCATCTATATATTTATCTGTAACTTTTTTTAACCTCTATTTAGTTTATTTTTACTGCCACATATGCCTCATCTATACCTCTATATATGAAATGTTTTTATCCACATCTGTAACTGTGAGGAAGACAGGGAAGTAAATTCTGTCTTTTAGTTTCAGTTGTGTATTTTAACCCAAATTTGAATATAAAAGCATAATTAGGAAGCTTTTTACATAAAGACAGCTCAGGAATGCTCTTCAACCTCCACCATGTTTCCAAAAGAAAGCCTCATGTTGGAAGATGTACTAACAGGCCTGTGATATAATAGAACCCCAAACTTAAAAAGTCCTAACCCATCAAGAAATCCCATTTATCATTACCATTTTTAGAAAGGATATAAAAAATAAAATGTCAGAACTATAATGTCAGGACCATTTAAAATGTCAAGTTCTTGTTGCATAGCTTGGCTGTCTGCTGTTCTGATCAAACCTGCAACTGGCATAATAATTACAGATGATGCATTGCATTGTCATTCACGACTAGACCCATATTTATAGCAAATCAGACAGAAACAGTCTCAGTGCCCAGCCTGAAATTTTCTCCTTTTTCTACATAGCTTAAGACTTTGCCATTGGAACAGAACATTATTGCTGATCCAAGACATCATTTGGGGTCAGGAATGAGAAAGAAGGGCAGAAAGAAAGGTTCTTAATAAATCAGAACATAGTCATCTGTAATATACAGATGCAACAAGAGCCAAGGGACATTAGACACGTTTGCCAAATGCATGTTTAATCTACGAAGAATGCTAAACTGTGGAGACACTGCCTGGATTATCTAGTTCTACTTCAGATGCTGGTTATTTTAATTGTGCAAGGAAACATATACGTAAGCTCTGTTTTGAACTGACAGATATGGAGACAGTTCTTCGGTTTAATTGTCGTATTCTGATGTGCTCAGAGAATACTAATGTCTAAACAGAAAAATAGCAATGCTTCTGTCTAGGATCTTTATGGAAATCTCCATGGGACTTAAGATGAGTGATGTATTCATAAACTGACACCAATTATAATAAAATCCTGAAATCAGTAACATGTACATGGGAAGAATTTCATTTCTTTTTAACTGAGATCTGGGAAAGGCACTCCACCGTTGGCCTTCCTTTGATAAGCCTTCTTACATGGTTTGAAGGAAACCTCCTCCCATGTCTGCCTTCTTCCCATCACAGATAACTTTCCATTGGAGAAGTCGATGCTCTCAGAAACAACCTCCAGAAGATCCTAATCTTTTTCTGTACCACTGATAAATTATTCCAAAGTCAATTCTCCTAGAAAATAATAAACAACCAATTAGAGGCTTTGACCATACTACTCACTGGCATATATATATATATACACACACACACACTGGTATTATATTGACAAACTTTTTCTATATATATTTTTTACCTCAACCAGACTCTAAATTCTTTGAACATTCTTTTTTTTTTTTTAAATAAATCAAAAAATAAATCTTTATTGTTCAGATTATTACAGATATTCTTCCCCCCCTCCCCCCCAACTCCCCTCAACCTGGTTCCTACCCCACACCATGCTTTTACCCCCCGGCCACTGTCCTCATCCATAGGTGTAAGATTTTTTTTTCCTTTCATTTATTTATTTATAATAAATCTTTATTGTTCAGATTATTACAGGTGTTCCTCTTTCCCCACTCCTCCCCCATATCTTCCCTCCACCTGATCCCCAACTCCACCCCATGCCCTTACCTCCCGCCCCTGTCTTCATCCATAGGTATAAGATTCTTGTCCAATCTCTTCCCTCACCCCCTGAGAATTGTTAGTCCAATACCTTACTATGTCCCTGATTCCATTATATTCACTAGTCCATTTTGTTCTTCAGATTTTTTATTCACTTGATTTTTAGGTTCAATTGTGGGTAGGTATGAATGTCTTTTTGTTCATAATTTTTACCTTTACTTTTTTCTTCTTCTTCCTCTCCTTAAAGAATACTCTTCAGAATTTCATGTAATTCTGGTTTGGTATTGATGAACTCCTTTAACTTTTTCTTGTCTGTGAAGCTCTTTATCTGACTTTTAATTCTGAATGATATTAAAGCTTTGCTGGGTAGAGTAATCTTGGTTGTAGGTTCTTGTTGTTCATCATTTTGAATATTTCTTGCCACTCCCTCTGGCCTGCATAGTTTCTGTTGAGACATCAGCTGACAGTCGTATGGGTACTCCCTTGTAGGTAACTAACTATTTTTCTCTTGCTGCTTGTAAGATTCTCTCTTTGTCTTTTGCCCTTGGCATTTTAATTATGATGTTTCTTGGTGTGTCCCTCCTTGGATTCCTCTTATTTGGGGTTCTGTATGCTTTCTGAACTTATAAGTCTATTTCTTTTACCAGGTAGGGAAAGTTTTCTGTCATTATTTCTTCCATTAAGCCTTCAATATCCTCTCGCTCTCCTCTGGCACTCCAAAAATCCAGATGTTGGTACACTTTAAGCTGTCCCAGAGGCTCCTTACACTGTCCTCACACTTTTGGATTCTTCTTTCTTTCTTTCTGCCTCTCCGGTTGGGTGATTTTTTTCTTCCTTATATTCCAGATCTTTGGTTTGATTCTTGGGGTACGTTGATCTATACTTGAGTTCCTGTATATTCTTTATTTCAGAGATTGTATGCTTAATTTATGACTGGTCCTTTTCCATTTTTTTTGTTATTCTCTTTAAGGTCCTTGAAGGTCTCACCAAGCTTCTTGGATGTCTCATCAAGTTTCTCAAAGGTTTTTAGAAGATTCTTGAGTAATCTTATAAATGTGATTCTGAACTGTGTGTCATCCATTAGTTTATTCTCCTCCATCTCTCCCATTCGTGTCATGCTTCTGTGTTTCCTCATTTTGGCCATCTCCCTGTGTTGATAGAGTGGCTTTATGTGGTTGTTGACCTACAGGGGTCAGTAGCTCAGCTTCCCCAATCACCTGAGGTGGTCCCTTTGTGGGCTTAGTGCACAGTCTTGGTGTAATTAAGCCTTGATTGCTGTTGATACTGGAAGAATTGACCTCCAGGCCAATTGTTTGTGAGAATCCGCTGTGTCTATAAAGGAAGAACTGCTGCGCTGGAGAAACACCTTGTTTCAGTGGGGCTTTGGTGCTCACTAAGAAGGTCTCCCTAATGTGTCACTTATGGATGTAAGGGATTGAAACTGAGCCCTAGAATTCTGGTTTCTTGGTCTCAATGAGGTGCAGTCCAGCTACTGTCTGAGGCCAGTACTGTCACAGAAGCTACAGCAGTGAACTATAGTCCTGTCCTCCTTGGATCTGTTTGCCCCAGGTTGCAATTTTGCTAAACTGCAACAGAGAGGGCCATTCATATGCAAAGTCTGCTGCTTGGAGCTTGGATGTGTTGTAAGGGGCGGAGTCTCAGGATGAAGTCCCAGGGCGTCACTAGGCTGGGGCATGGCCATCAGTAATGGTGACCTGGACGCCTCTTGGATGGTGTCCCCGCGTTTCCCCGCATCTCGCACCACAGCGCAGTAAACAATCTCGGCTCTGCAAGCAAGCCAGCCCCATTTTCTGACCCGATGGCAGACAGTCTAGCCTCTCTCCCAGAAACTGGATTTCAGAGAGATTGAGCACTCGTCTCTCTTGGGGTTGAAGAAAGCACCGCCCTCTGCGCACCGGGATCCTCCACCAACCTGTCTCACGTCCTCGCCCTCCCCCCCCCCACCTCAGTTTTCAGCGCTTGTGCCCTGGATTCTCCTCTTTCTCTTTCAGTCTAGAGATGAAGGGCTTCCTTTCAGCCAGCTTTCGTTTGGTTTTGGGGAGATAGACATTTGTTTTATAGTTTTTCCTTGGACTTGTGCCTGGCGGCCGTTTAGGTGTGTTTACCCAGCATCGCCATCTTCCTTTTCCATAGGTGTAAGATTTTTGTCCATTCTCTTCCCACACCCCCTCTACAACCCCTTCTCCCTTAGAATTGTCAGTCTACTCCCTTTCTATGCCCCTGATTCTATTGTATTCACCAGTTTATTCTGTTCATCAGATTTTTTATTTTATTTATTTATTTATTTATTTATTTTATTTATTTTTTTTAAATAAGTTTTTATTGTTCATATTATTACAAATGTTCCTTCCCCCCCCCCACCATTGCTCTCCTCCACCAAGTTCCCACCCCGCCCTCTGCCCTTTCCCCTCTCCCCATTGTCCTCATCCATAGGTGCACAGTTTATGTTCAGTCTCTTCCCACGCCCCCCTCTCCCCTTTACCCCAAGAATCGTCAGTTCACTCCCCTTCCATACCTCTGATTCTATTATATTCAACAGTTAATATTGTTCATCAGATTTTTTTAATTTCCTTGGTTTTTAGATTCACTTGTTGATAGTTATGTATTTGTTGTTCATAATTTTTATCTTTGTTTACTTTCTCTTCTGAAAGAACCCCCTTCAGCAATTCATATAATTCTGGTTTGGTGGTGATGAACTCCTTTAGCTTTTTTTTATTAGTGAAGCTCTTTATCTGGCCTTCAATTCTGAGTGATAGCTTTGCTGGGTAGATTATTTTTGGCTGTAGGTTCTTGCTATTCATCACCTTGAATATTTCTTGCCATTCCCTTCTGGCCTGCATGGTTTCTGTTGAGAAGTCAGCTGACAATCGTATAGGTGCTCCTTTGTAGGTTACTACCTTCTTTGCTCTTGCTTCTTTTAATATTCTCTCTTTGTCTTTTGCTCTTGGAATTTTAATAATGATGTGTCTCGGTGTGGTCCTCTTTGGATTCCTTTTGTTTGGAGTTCTGTGCGCTTCCTGGACTTGTAAGTCTAATTCTTTCACCAGGTAGGGGAAGTTTTCTGTCACTATTTCTTTCAGTATGTTTTTGATATCTTGCTCTCTCTCATCTTCTGGGACCCCCATAATTCTGATGTTGGTTCGCTTGAAGTTGTCCCAGAGGTTTCTTACATTATCTTCAATTTTCTGGATTCTCTTGCCTTCTAGCTTCTGTGGAGGAGTGTCTTCTGGCTCTTTATGTTCCAAATCTTTGACTTGATTCTTGCGATCTTCCCTTCTGTTTTTAGGACTCTGTAAAATATTTTTTATTTCAGACAATGTATTCTTTATTTCTTGTTGATCCCTTATCATTTCTTGTTGACTCCTTATTAATTCTAGTTGATCTCTTTTCATATCCTCATAGGCCTTATCCATCTTTTCTAGGAAATTCTTGAAAAACCTTATAAGCGTAGATTTGAACTCTATATCCAGACGCTTTTTGTCCTCCATTTCTTTCGTTTGTGATCTATTTTGTTGTCCCATTTCGCAGTTACAGATGGGACGGGGTTTCAGGGTGGAGCCTGCAGCTTTGGCTTCTGTCAGCCCCGCCCTATGCGGGTCCTTCAGTGCTCGCTGCTGCCGGCGCCTCTGAGAGAAAGGTGCCCTCGATTTTCGCCTGCTGCCAAACAGTCTAGGCTCTCCCCTAATGAGCCCGGTATTGGGGTTCAGTTCAGTTGGAAGTGGAGTTGGAGGTGGCGTTCAGAGCAGTCTGGAGCCCCTGTCTCCTTCCCGTCAGGGCAATCCCGCGGCACAGCCGACAGACAGTCCCTTCTCTGCGCGCAGTGTGCCCGCAGCCGGGACCTCCTTTCGCCTCTCCCCGGGGTTCCGCCTTACAGCCCGGCTCCCTATGGCTGAGCCTGGGTCCCCGGGGTCTGGCCCAGAACCGGGGTTCAGAGCAGTTGGGGGCCCAGCACAGTAGGAGTTTTATCTCCTTTCCGCTCGGGAACTCCCGCCAGGCACTCGGCCTCCCTCCTCTCCGGCTCAGTCCTCTCCGCGCGCCGCGTCTCCGTACCTTGGGCTTTTCCAGCTCCTCCGCGCCTCCTTCTGGTTTGCTCCTTGCTTCTCGCTGTAGAATTTCCAGTCAGTCAACCTTCCTGTAGTTCTGGGCAATGTCCGTTTTATATTTTAGTTGTATTTTATTGAAATTGTTGTGTGCGGCTGCGGCTAGGTGTTCACCTGGGCGCAGCCATCTTGGATCGCTTTGAACATTCTTATACAGAAAAGTATTCAATGGAAGGATTGGTAATGAAAATAAAGATGAGAATAAAAGATAAAGTACTCAAAAACACAAATGCATTCACATCTTTACACAGTATTGATTACTTAGCCATTAATCTTGAAGATATATAAAGTAATAAAAGCATAAAGATTGAAGTTTTCTAAGATCTGGAGGAAATAGTTGTTTGCAAGACTGTTTTCAGTGTTCTTCTCTCTGAGAAAAAATTTTAGATTATCCAAAGCTGGGAGAAAGATTAAACATTTATTTATTCCACATAAAATTATAGGTTATTA